AGTCATAGACCACTTGCTTTCCTTATGCGCTGGTCCTTGAGTCAGACATGATGTGCAAGGGTGTGATAATCCTGATCGCCCTAAAATCGCGAATCGGTAGATGTTAGAATTCATGGGTCGTTGAGTCGCGCCCCAGTGGTTGGATGGTCTACGAGCTTGCTTGCTTGTAACCGGAAGGTCACGGGTTCGATACCCAGCGGGTGCGTACTACCGACGAGTCCAAAGCCAGGACGAAACAGCTGTTCAGTACTCCTAGCTGTTTTCCAACTGGCTATAAACTCATATCAATCTCTGACCAAACTTGGAAGAAATGGAGTGAATTCGCACCCTGGAGGAACAACTACTTAAGACAAGGTGGTATTCATTACACTTGGTGGAGATCCTCGGGATGCTAAGGAACCAATGCCTTAAGACTGTTTGCCATACGGCTTGAAATTGTTCTCAATAGCCCAGATGTCCAATCTCTAGTTACCATTCTTTATCCCGTAGACTGCCGCTCATCATAGTTCTCTTCTGAATCCCTATTTTTCTCTCCCTTCTCTACCTTTATGTGCTCCATGGAGTGTGGAGACTTGAAGTGCTTCACTTTTGTAAAAAATCTCTAGGCTGAAACTCAGTCGGCCAGGTAGGGGTGTAAAATAAAAGCAGCGACACCTATCCTCATCTCAGTTTAATTTTCAGAACTCAATTACCCGCAACAGACTTCGGCAATAGTAAGGAATCGATACCACAGTTAAATAACCTTGAACTAGCCAATCAGATTCTTCTGAGTGAGAAGTGGTATTTACCGTATAAAGTATGTTTCTAAGATACATGTGTAATGAAAATGAATTATACAGGGTATATATATATCTAATATATGCTACAAAACTCGCTCCCAGTTTCTCATAGGAGCAGTTATAGACATATCAAACCAATGTCGATACAAAAATTCATCTAAGTAGCTGCATAGTCACGTATCATTTCGGGAGCCATTTACCGTTCTAGAACATTTTTTAGATGGACCCAGAATCCTTCAATAGAATTTGTATGAGTTCCACTTATAGGACTGACTAATTCAAAAGAATAACTGACTTTATGTGATGAATATAGCCTAATGATGATAATTGCGAAATAACCTTTCCACTCATCTGTGTGAATAGTAGTAGTGCCTGGGAGGACTAGTCGTTGTATTATTAGTGTTAGGACATTAGCACTTCTGTTTGAGATGCGTTCTACTAATCCTTTTCGAAGATTTGTATCATACAGTCCCAGCGCCCAAAAATGGTTTGCTCTTTTGCTACCACGGCGATTTATTTTTGGTTTAATATGATGAACGACACCAATTCCTCCAAGTACACATATAAATTCCAATGATCTGTTGTAGGGCAATATCCCGACAGTGCTGATACACTACTGTACTGTTGACATTTCAGTATTCTCGGTTTCCGCACCTACAGCAGATACTGGTCGTTTCAGTAGCTGACTGCGGCGATAATACACAATATTTTAGTCATATAAAAGAAAAGAATGCGTTCAGCGAAGAGACTCTTTTCGGCGAATCCATTCACTGAGCTGTACAATCACATATTTATACAATTTTGTTTGTGTGTGTGTGTGTACATTAGATTGATAAAGTTTAGATAATTATGTAATATAAGTATTTTTTTGGCTTGGAGACACACGTTAAGATGGAAAATAAAATAGAATTGATTAAGTGAATTGGATGACGTAATACAGTTGAGTAGAATTCAGATTAGGTCAGGTTGGCAACAGTGCTAATGAGTGGTGTTTAAAATCAAATAAGGGTGGGGTTAGAGAATAATACAGTTGAAAAGTAGTAAGTTAATTGGATGACGTAACACAGTTGGCTAGAAATTGGACGTGGGTCAAGTTAGTAACATTGTTAATGAGGGTAGAGATTACAAAAGGGTGGGGTAGAGAATAATATAAATGAAGATGTGAAACAATAAAATGCAAGAGACAAAGTAATACAATTAGTAAGACTGAAATTAAGAAAGATGACGTCCATTGTAAATTTAATGAATGAACGAATTTCTTTTGTATGCAGAGTTCAGGATTTAGCAGATGAATTGCCATTGCTTCTGCGATGTGGAGAAGTTTGATCCGTACACTTTGAGCAAGATTGCCTTGTATACTGTAGATAACTTTGAAGTTTATTTCTGGTTTGACTTGGTGTCCAGAGTCGATCAAATGTTCAAGGATCGAGCTGCGGGGGCATCGGTTTTCTCCTTTATAAAACCATGAAGGTAAATGTTCGTTGACGCGTTTGGATAGCGAACGCTGAGTACGGCCGATATACCTGGCTCCACACGAGCAGGTGAATTGGTAGATGCACATAGATGAGGCCAACAGCGGTAGCTTATCCTTCACGTTCATAAGAATCATTGGTCTCGTGGAGAACGTCAGTCGTAATTCAGCTGCAAAGAAGGTTTTCTTCAATGAGAGGGAGATCCGATTTCTCAGTATTTCTGTAGATTGGTCTCCATTGAACTGTAGGTTCATATAGAGAAGTCTTTTTGGAGCACAGTTTCGATTTCGAGAAGAAAGTATCTAAAAGTATCTATCACCATAATGTAGAAACTTACCAACTCTTACTGACTTCCCGCTATGACAGTCAGTGATTGCATCTGAAAGCATAGCCATCAGTAAATAGCTTGGCAGTACTTCTAAAGAGTTGCTATCCCTTCACATATGCATGTTTTAGTCCTCCCTATCACAACCCATTTGCAACACAAAAATCAAAAAGAAAACCTGGATGACAATTGCAACAGCAACCATTTGTGATACCTAGCGATCTGATTCGTTAGCTGTGGTATCTATTCTTTTCACTTGCCTAGACTTCCTATATGCCGGGGCCATGAAGGCAAATTTATTGTGTGAGATAGCTGAAGACGACTGACTGACCGTTTTCAACATAGAACTTTGCGCAGATGTGCAGCAGTTCGAGTCGCCATACTCTTCTCTCAGCACACAAAGCCAGAGAAGAAATACAAAGTAGAGACAGTAAACAGAGATATGAGGCAAAAAATAATAGTAATATCGAAGAACAGTATAGTTTTATTGAGTATTATAAGTCACAAAGAGTGGATACATCTGCAACAACCACTGAGAACGATTTTGAGCCATATCACGAATTGTCTCCAGTCTTCATTGGTTCTTACCGTCTCTAGAACCCCAACTAGGAAGTCTACATCTTCCTACGTGACTGGCTTAAACTAACTGTTGCGGATTTCATTGATTGATGAAGCCATGTTTTGCTTTAACCACCACTGGCTCTTTTCCAGCCTGGCCCTATATCAGCTAACATTGCCCGTCAGTCAAGGAAAACGATGGCTAGGCATACATAACACATGTCCTAACCATCTCAGTCGATGTAGCTTCACAGTATCATCTATTGATTTTTCCTCTCACCTACCTAGCAGTCGACCGATGCCTAAACTCAATTTTGCTCACTCTATTATTCGACTTCACACGAGAGATAGAACGCAGTCACCTATGATCAAAGACAGCTAGCCTTTTCATGTCTTCCACTCTCAATGGCCAAGTCTCACAGCCATAAAAGAGGACGGAGCGCAGACTGATGAGCAGTACACACGTCCTTTGTTTGATAGCCGGATATAACGTCTACTAAGCGAGGGTCAGCGTAAACTGGCATATGCGAAACTAGCTTTATGTATCCATGATGAGATTTCGTCAGCGATCAACCCGTTGGGACCGGCTGATGCAACTTCCCAAATAAGTGAAGCGATCAACGCGCTTTACCACTTCACTCCCAATTTCTAAGCTAGGAGTCAATGTAGTCCAGTCCTGTAACATCATATTACATTTGGCGGGAGCGAATCACATGCCGAACATTCTCAGATTACAGCTCAAGGTGTTCAGAAGACTCTGCATATTCTAAGTCAACGAGATTACTCCCTGATGGTAACAAGTCAATCCCAGGGTAGCTGAAGATACTACTACCATGCGCCCTTCTCCCGCATTACTCTGCCCAGTTTTCTTGAAAGTTAAGTACTGCTTAATCATCCAATGCGGTCACATATATCCTCCACACAACACTCTCACAAGAACAATATACACAACGCGAAAAGACAAGACAACTAACTACTACTCATCAAGTGACAAACTTTATAAGAAAATTATTATGTTTATATAAACAAGCAGATCAGAAACGAAAAAAGAAAGAAAGAAAAGAAAAAGGCAAAACGATATTAACAAATTGTATGTATGTAGGTGAGTGCGCGCACGTGCGTGTGTGTGTGTATTTGTGTTCATTAAAGCAATATCACCCCACAAAGAAAAGGTGCGCGAAAAGAATATCAAGTGTTTGTGCTGTGTCATAAAACAATGGTAACATACATTACAAGACAAACACGCATACACACAAATATCGCCTAAATATGAATTGCACAGAAAATACTACTTTGTAGGGTAAGACTACAACAGTGGTGATAGTAGTAGTAGCAGTAGTCATGGCAGGGACAGTGATGGAAGAGAAACACCTGAGAGAAGGTTCTACAGAGCCTTGAAACCGCGGGAGGAGAAACAAGCATAGTGATCATGATATAATAATAATAATGATAATAATAATAATAATAATAATAGTAATAAATAGCCTACCTATAGCCAAATGCTTCAACTAGACAAAAATTTAGTCTTCAACAATGTAACACACATGCACGCACACACAAAAAGAGAGAGAGAAACAAGCCCAGGAGGATGGAAGAATATAAAATATGAAAGACGACAGAGAAATATCCGAAATAACACAATATCACGCAGAAGGAGAAGAAGAAGAAGAGGTAAAACGACGAAAGTTAACACAATATGAGCGGTTGTAGTACACTTTTTGAAGAGGCACTTAAGGTGGTGTGTTAGTGTGTGTGTGTGTGTGTGAGTGAAAGCTTTACGGTTAAACAACAAAAAGGCGAGAGAGAGAGAGAGAAAAAACACCAGGACACACGACACAGATACAATACACAATACCATGATATTAATAATAGTAATAATAATAATAATAACAGAGTAACAATAATTGCAGCATGTCATCGACGACTCATGGAGAGACACTTGTTTGTATGTTTGTATGTGTGCGTTGTCTTTCTCACACCGGTAGAATAAGATTACGACCTTTAAGCACTAAAGATAAAATTTTTTAAAAAAACAGATCATTAGTATTACTATTGTTTTCAACATTAGAAAAAAACAAACTGGGTACATTATCGGCACCAAAAATATTAAAACATCAATATCTAAAGAAAATAGGAATAGTCATTATAATAAAGGTTTTTGTATTTCCCAATTGAATGAAAAACAAAACGATATTGTTTTTACTCACGTTTCGCTATTTAATGCTGCTGCTAATAGCTTCATCAAAGTATTATTAAACCGGAATTTACAAAATCCACTCAACTTATATATAACAAACAGTTAGGGGGTGAGAAAATAGACTTAGGTCAAGTTAAAAGGGACATATTGAAAGTAAAATAGCAATGAAGATCACTAAACCAAATAACAAAGGTAATAGTACATCTGTTATGATATCAAAATAAAGTTTACTAACTTGATTATCGTTCGTCAGTCTGGAGTCCTTTTTCGTTGTCAAGTTGGTCAATTGGTAAAAGTAACAAAACCAAGTGTCGATTGTTGGATTTGATCGGTGTGTAAAATTATAAAAGTAGTGTGTGTTTACATAGTGAACTTGTTTATCACATTCGTGTTGATTTTGTCAATTGATGGGGGAGGGAGGTGTTGTAACCAGGTCAGATTCTGTTTTAGTCCATCATTCCTATTCAGATCAGACAATTTGGATTCCACTTGATATGAAGTGCTTCTGATATTAGACGTTCTTTGTGATTTCTGAAGTTTTTCTGGATTATTTCAATATTGTCAAAATCAATTTTGCGGCCTGATTCTATAGCATGTAGACCTATGGCTGATGATTTTTCAAGTTTTTGTAGTTCAACGGGATTTCTCGGTGGTCGAAGAGTTGCTCTACGGTGTTCATTTCTTCTGATGTGATAAGCAAGTTCACTATGTAAACACACACTACTTTTATAATTTTACACACCGATCAAATCCAACAATCCACACTTGGTTTTGTTATCTTTACCAATTGACCAACTTGACAACTAAAAATGACCCCAGACAGACGAACGATAATCAAGTTAGTAAACTTTATTTTGATATCATAACAGATGTACTATTACCTTTGTTATTTGGTTTAGTGATCTTCATTGCTATTTTACTTTCAATATGTCCCTTTTAACTTGACCTAAGTCTATTTTCTCACCCCCTAACTGTTTGTTATATATAAGCTGAGTGGATTTTGTAAATTCCGGTTTAATAATACTTTGATAAAGCTATTAGCAGCAGCATTAAATAGCGAAACGTGAGTAAAAACAATATCGTTTTGTTTTTCATTCATTGGGAAATACAAAAACCTTTATTATAATGAATATCATATACCCAATGCCCAAATTTTTTCAAACCGTTAAGAGTGAACTTGGTTTGGATATATATAAAATAGGAATAGAATGAGTAAATGAATGAATGAATCAATGAATGACGGAGGCCAGCAAGCAACCAAGCACACTTGCCAAGATCATTCAATATTCATCCCTTCATCTTACTTTCAGAAAAGGAGTGATTGATTCCTTGATTGCGATTCTCGGCCATATCTGATAATGTGCTGTGAACCACTGATTCTCTTGGACCCCAACCCCAACGAGTCGTGATGTACCAAATAACGCCTGTCAACTCTCAGTCAGATTGTTCCAAATTAAATAACTTTCTGTCGGAAATTAGTCAGTCAGTGGTCCTCTTCAAACGGTCTTAAGCTGAATCCGCCTAAATGTCAGGTAGTAGTCAATTTCACTTTCAGACGAAAACGTGACCTACAACAACTAGCTAGCTCACATGGCCCCACTATCATTGACGGCATAGAGGTTGAAATTACATCTAATGTCAAGTACCTTGGACTGAGTATTTCCTCCGATCTTTCCTGGTCCTCTCACATCTTGTTAGTTACTAGAAAGATGTTTCGCTTAACGTTCTACGTTAGGAAGTTAAGGCAGTCTGGTATAAAGCAGTCTTTGCTTTCTCAGTTTGTCAATTCTTGTATTCTACCCATCCCTCTTTACTGCTCCCCATTAATCTTTCCTGGACTACTTAAGAAAGACTTTGCTTTGCTGAGAAGGGCACTAAAAGCTGTTAGTAGGGTAAGTGGGATATCGTTAAACCAACTGGTTAACACTATTGTGGATAGACACATAATGTCATGTAAGAAACTAGCGAATACTATATTGTCAGACCCTGAGCATCCTCTCTATACGCAGCTCTCTCCTTGCATTTCATCTGGTAGAACTAGAAGCAGCTATAGGAGGCTATATGCCAGGACTACCAAGTACAAAAACTCCACAATACCTTATCTGGCACAGCTGTTATGTGATGAGAAATCCGTTAGGTATGACACGATCAACTTACTGTGGCACTCTAACAATTAGTCCCATTAGTTTTTGTTTTCCTTTCTTCGTTACTATTATATTGTTGTTCACATCTTCTATTACACACTCATTTTATATTTCATATCCTGTGGTGCATTGTTTAAATATGTAAATGCAACGCTGTTCTTTTTTTATTTATTTATTTTTTTGGTTGTTGCTTTTTGATTTTAAAATCTTATAAAATTTATGAGGTAATTAGATGCAATATTGTAATGCACGCTGAAAATTCCATACCTGTACCACAAATACTGTTTGGAATAAAGCTATTATTATTATTATTATTATTATTATTAAATATCCTTCATCTCACTGTGCTACATCATAGACTGATCCCCTATCCGCTGTTTCTATCAATCAAGTGCCAGAGTTAGAGAATAGCGAGCGGTAGGGGAGCCTTTGAGATGATATTCGTAGTGCAAGTCTAAGCCACTGAAATTGGCGTTTCACAAGATGACTACCACACATCTTACTTACTTACTTTACTTCGGCTATCTCCTACGGGAGGATGAGCCGGCTTCATGAACATCTCGAATCAAGAGAGTTCATGAAGTTTCATGGGAATTTGGTACGAATGATGTCCCCAGAATCGCTCGGCCTTTTGTTTGAGAGTGCAGCTCTAGCCTTTACACAACCAAGTGTGACCTGCAAGGCAGTAGGAGTGGAGTAGGGAGTCCACTATCCATTGGCAGCCGGTGACCGGAGTTCGGTTCATACGCCTTTTTGAATGGGGCCAGACATCCAGGACATCCAACAAGCCCTTTGTCCATACGTCTGCCAGTGAGCTTCATACGCCAGTCGTTGGAGGTTTGGAATCAGGGTTTAGCCATCTCCCCTAGACTGTCATCCAATGGACAGTCAACCCGGTGAAGAGCGCCGGGCATCCGCTTTCGCCCTCTCACTTTGGTGAAAAACACCTCCGCCACGTGAAGGCAGTGAGTAGGACTTCCTCAGGAGAGGCTATGTAAGACGCCCGGTCATATGGGAGCATTTCAAGAGGTGTGCGGAGGGGTGGCCAACCCGCAGCGCAAGGCACCCACCCCCGACCATCCTGAGGTTTTGGAGGCTTGATGTACCACACATCTGATGAATGGTCACCTCCACGATGTCCAAACACACGCTATAACAGCTCAGAATTACTTACACGGTGATGTCATCGGACTGCTGCTTCTACTACTATCGAAAAATAAAAAATAACAAACAGACGGGAACCATCTGTCTAGAACCTGTGACACTACCGTTGAAACTTGTGCTGAGATTTCAATTAATTTTGTTCCCTAAGACGATTTAAGCTTGTTTACCCCCCCCCCCCGAAACGGGGTTTTTCATTTACCTGGTTAAGAGTCACAATTATTTTGACAGGGCTGATGATATCCTACCAAGTTTAGTTGCTTATGCTGAAGTAGGCATGAGTAGGAGACAAATATGTGACCTATCGACCTAAAACTGAGCACTTGAGCCAACGGAGTTACATCTCCACATTTACAGTAAACAATCGATGAAGTTTAGAAGGCGAATTACTTGCAACAATAATGCATGCTTATTAGTCGTAACACATCAGTCATTTCTTTTAGGAGATGAAGTGATCCACCACTTGTCAGCTATACTGCTTGATGTACATAAAAGTTAATCCTGTTCTGTTGAATTTGCAATTTGCACACATAAACACATAAATACACCTTGAACTATATGATTGGCAAATTACAAAATGTCTGGCCTCTCAACCTGAAGGTCCTTGGTTCGATCCCTGGTGGGGTTCTGGGTGATCACTGTCAAGTAGTCCCAAACTGGGATGAAGCAGCTATCCTGAGCTTTCGGGTTTTCAATGACTCTCTAACTGACTTCAGTCCCTGGCAACACATCTACAGTGACACTAAGAACCAAGTTCATGAGGTAAAAACACTAGGAATGCGAATCAGGCTCATGTGGAGTAACTGTTATTATTATTATTCCCTTTGTTCTATTTTCTGCTGTCCTTTTTAGCTGGTCCGACGGTTGCCCACAAGCTTTGATCTCCTCCTCGCATGATCTTCATGTCACCCTCGAAGCGACGCCCAACTCGTCGTTTCCCATTCAGGTTCCACATGAGTGATGGCCTGCATTGCGCGCGATGTCATTCAACGATCTCCTCAGCATCTGCCCAATCCATCTCCATTTTCTTCGGAATATTTGCTGAGCAATCGGTTCTTGGTTGGTTCACTCCCACAGTTCCTTGGTGCTAATTCTTTCTGACCAGCCATTTGATCTTCAGTAAGGAAATCCTTTTCGTCACATGCTGGTCAAGTTTCTAACCCGTATAGAAGAACTGACTGAATGACTTCACATTTGTGTTGAATAGAATCCGAATCTTGTTCCTTATGTTGACTGAGTGCAGAAGATTTTTCCGAATTGATTTCAGGTTGATGAAGGCGTATCTTGCCTCTCCGATTCTGGCTGGTTGGCTGGCTTTGACATCTTCATCCGTTCCCCGTCTGTAGTTGGAACGATGCTTCCTAGACAAGTGAAGGAGGTAACCTCTGTTAAATCTCTCCCGTTGATAGTGATTGGTACTGGTTGTTGTTGTTGTTGAGGTTGAGATTCGTTAGTTACCTTCATCACCTCCGTCTTCTCTATGTTCACCTGCAGTCCTGTCTTCGCTGCCTGCCTGCTTCTTCAGCCAGTTTGTTGGTTTTTGTCTGCCTGCAAGTCTTCGAGTTTGTATGACACTAGACATATATATCTGCGAAATCCAGATCTTCTAGAGGCATGTCATTAATAAACACTAATAATTTCAAGTTGTAATCCACTTATTATTATTAAAAAAATAATTTTCTTACCTCTTGTCACATATAGATAGAAGAAATCAATGTATAGTAGAGTTTGAACACAGCCAGCAACAATAGCCACTATATCATAAACATCTTCAACATAATAACGATATATCCAATTAACTAGATACAAAGCACGATATGATCCTAATGCAAATAAATAGTGTGCAGTTATCGTCTCCGCTTCACCAGTACTACTGATCATAAATAACTGTGGCAGGATAGCTACTGACTCCAAGTATATTGAAAATGTCCAGAGTACCTAAAAGTGGAAAATATAAAAAAATACAAGAAAAACAAGACGAAAACTGATGATAATAATCCGTAATCAAGGTTGAAACTGATCAGGTCCCTACATACCAACACGGATGCTCACCAGTGACTGATAAGAGGATAAGAAGCTGTCTGAGTGCTAGTACGAAGTTGGCATCACTGGGGGCTATCAAGTCAACTGTGTGGACAAATACTCGTCGGTGACATTGGCTGGCGGTGGCGTTAACAATTGCAAATAGACAGAAATTAGAACCAACGGGTCAATGAATTCTGTCTCAGCGGATGAACAGTCAAAGTACTCGCCTTATAACCTGAATATCCTGAGTTCATTCCCAGGTGGTGTTATAGGCACGTACTGCTGAAGAACCAGAATCTAGGAAGAAACGACTGTTTGGTAATCCCTACTGGTCTTACAATGGTTCTCCAACTGATATCAGTCGGGGATCAAACATGAAATAAGGAAAATACTTGAAGTAATTTGGTGGATGGTGACTAGTAGTGGGATACAGAATGCGCCTTTCGTCCTATTTGGGACTCGTCACCCGGATGTGCCTGCAATCCCCCAGTTAGTAGTAGTGTTCCTACTGAGGCTCGGACCCAGTATCTATCATCTCAAACGCTAGAGTCATCCACTAGACTACTCGCACTATGACGGCCACCTCTTGTGCAACGGATGTCAGTAATGACTTTTTCCTGTTAATTAAAGGGGCCTCCATAAACATGTCAGCTCCTGGTGTGGATGCTTCAATGATGGCTGGCGAGTTCCAAATAGGACGAGATCCACGTCCTAGATTCCACTGCCAGTCACCATCCCCCAAATCAGTTCAGGTTAATCCTCGGACACATCGTTGAGGCGTCCGAACTAGAAGCCAGCCAACAAATCAACAGAGGCCGGAAACTGAGGTTCAATCAATCAACAGGAAAATCCAAGTTCAGTTGAAAATCATGAATGACACCCACTGCACAAGAAGTGACTCGCGTCGCCCAAATGATTTATTGGGTGACTCCTTTGTCAGCTAACACTGTTAGACGAGAAAGCCGACAACTCAACATGCGCAACGTGTTCTAGCCATCTTAATCGATGTAGCTGCATAACCTCACGATTGACCTACCCTTTTTACCTAACACACTACGCCTAACCTCAATATTGTTTAGTATATTTCTGGTTAGAGATAAATAGTCCCTCCTTTTAATCGCCATGTGTCTTAAGGTTTCTTAAATCTTCCCTTAACAAAGTTTAGGATGAAATTCACATCGAAACAAGGAAACTGTGGTAGTGGTAATAATAATAATAATAGTGATGGAAGTAATAAAGTATCAGTAGGAGCGAATCAAGGAAATGAAAAAGTCTGAAATAAAGCAGTGGGCACTGGTTAAGATTTTCCCTTGATTAGACCATACCGACGAAGCCTGTCTTTCGAAAGGTCACATACTTTTTATGTACAGTTCGGACAAGTACCCCAGAGAACATTACGACCTCCAGAAGCGAACTCATACAATTGTATATATATATATATATATATACATATAAAGTATAGGTCCACGCTAACAGCGTATAGTCCATTATTTCGCCCTGTAGACACACTATATATATATATATATGTATATATATATATATATGTATACATATAGTATAGGTATCCTGGACCAACGTGAAGAACCTAGAAAACCTGGATTTCGCAGATGATTTGTGTTTGATGTCACACAAAATCGAAGACTTACAAGCGAAAACCGACAAACTGGTCGAAGGAGCAGCAAAAACAGGACTCCAGGTGAACATACACAAGACGGAGGTTATGAAAATAACCAACCAACACAACAACAACAGCAACATCCAGCGCCAATCACCATCAACGGGAGGGATTTGAAAGAGGTTACTTCATTCACTTATCTAGGGAGCATTGTCTCAACTACAGGAGGAACGGACGAGGATGTCAAATCGAGAATCGGGAAGGCGACAAACACATTCATCAACCTGAAACCAATCTGGAAATCTTCGTCACTCAGCATCAACAACAAAATTCGGATTTTCAATACAAACGTCAAGTCAATTTTTCTTTACGGATCAGAAACTTGGCGGGTTACAAAAAATATTTCCAACAGCGTTGCAGACCTTTATCAACAACTGTTTTCGCTCTATACTGAAGATCAGATGGCCGGAGAGAATCACCAACAAGAAACTATGGGAACAAACAAAACAAGAACCAATCGCCCAACAAATATGCAAGAAAGTGGAGATGGATTGGACACTTGCTGAGGAGGCTGCTGGGTGACATCGCGCGTCAGGCCAACGCTCGAGTGGAACCCGAAAGGGAAGTGGTGAGTGGGACGTCCGAAGGTGACATGGAGGAGATCGTGTGAAGAGGAGTTGAAACAGTATGGAATAACATGGATGCAGGTGAAAAGTACAGCAGAAGACAGAAGCAAGTGGAGACGTGCAGTTGAAGCCCTATGTTCCACTAGGAACCCAAGGGAACAATAATAATAATAGGTCCACGCTAACAGCGTATAGTCCATTATTTCGCCCTGTAGACACACAATATATATATGTATACATATATAACATTGATCTGATATGTTTTACGCCCTTCAAATAAATGCGGGCGTGTGAGGTGAAATATTCCAATTTTCAATAATGAAAAAAATGTGGAAAAAAAAGAAATTTAAAACTTTAATAACTTGAGTAAAGTTTATATATTAAACATGCGATTTCACAGTACTCTTATGTACAACAACAGGGACAGAAACAAAACAAAAAATACACCCTAGTACTTTATATATATATATATATATATATATGAGGAATGACTGAATGTTATGCGAAACTATAATCTGTGAGCAAGCAATATTTAAACAACAAAAATCGTTAGATAAGTTTAGGCACAGTAATAATAAAAAGAAATCAGGAACACTGAAGTCACTATCACTGACTCAATCTAATTTAATCCGAGCGCTTATTGGAGATTATTTTCTGGTAAACTTCTCACCCACCTATTGTAAACGGATAAAAAGTCAATCTTTTTGAGGGATTTATTGAATACTGTCTTTTACAAATGAGCGTATAATCAACAATTACAGTTGCAGCTCGTGATTGATAACAATGACTGGGCAAATTCTTTGTTAACTTTACCGCACCATTATTTACACAAGCAGATATAATGCAAAATAATTCCCCTTTATGTCCTGTAGCCACTGAAAGTGGAAGATATGACTATCTTTGACCACAGATGTTTACGTCCTGTCTCCCATGTTAAGTGGTATAATGTAGTGAGCATCATTGTGGTTAAGAGCAGAGTGCTAAGTAAGGAGGAGAAGTTAGTCTACGAGACTGTGAAGCCACATTGATTCAGACAACTAGGACACGGTGTTGCGACTGCCAAGTCACCACATTCCTCGATAAGCAATCCTAGCTAATATGGGATTAGGTTGGAAAAGAGTTACAAGTGGTCAAACCAAAACGCAATATCAGTTTATGTAGTCGTTGACTGACTGTTGGTTTGAGGCATGTAGGGAAGTATAGATTACCTAGTTGGGGTCACTGGGATTCTAAGAATCCACAGCTGGAAACTATTGATGATATATGGCGAGAAATTGTTCGCAGTGGTGTAGATGCATTCACTCTTTTTGACCTCCTACATCCATTAGGTGCGATGGCACAGCGGTTAGGACGCTCCCCGACCATGTACATGGTCCGGGGTTCGATCCCCGGCCGACACACTCCTTTACCTCGCTAAGCCAGTAATAAGACTGGTAAAAAGGAAAGGTTGGGCATGAGGCTAGCAACCCCATCCTGTAAAAATAAACACTGCTACAGAAACTTCAAGACTAGCTTGAAGTCCTATGTTCCACTGGGAACGTGAAGGAAAAAAACATCCATTAGGCCTTTCTGTTTTCTATGTAATAATCCTTTTTTTCTCTTGTACATTTATGCTCATTATAGATTTTTCTAATTTCTTTGTTTTCTTTTTACGCAACATGGAATGTGACGAATTTAATTTCTTTGCAAATTTTAGTCGGTCAATCAGTAAAACATGAGCGACAAAGAATACCCTAGACGAGGAGATAACAAGAAAGTAGAGAGGAAAAGGATAATTAAAGAATAACAAAACAGACAACTCAGCATTCTTATTAGGCACATCGAAATCACTTTTCGTCACGCGCCGTACCACTTTCCGAGTAAACTCTCAAGCAGACGAAAACGAGGATAACTGGATATACTCAGCTCGGATAGATTAAGTTTTAAACAGCATAGTAGCGTTATGCGAGATAGGTGGTTTAATTGTCTTTCTAAGCGATATCTTGAATGTTTACTTCAACTAGGTTTTATCGACATACACAGTAACTACAAACATCGAAGCGACGTAACCCAGGTCTTTATTAATCAGGCTAACGCTAAAAGAGTGAAAGGTGGCCTAGAGTGGTACATATCACCCCAAACTTTGGTTGAGTCACACCTAATGATCATTTCTGTTGTTATGTATTTTTGGAACTCTTACGCAGTACTTCGCAGACTAACTGAAGAAATTACGAATTGTGAGAAAATCCTACTAAACAGAACAAGAAGAATTGGTCTTTGGTTATTATTAAGTAATAGATCTATGGAAAATTTCAACCAGGTTTAACTTCATGAAACATCCATATTCTAAGGCATTTTTAATAAATTGCACGTACCAATTAATACTAGAATATGATGTACTTGTGCACATGATAGTTTCACACACTCGCTTTGATATCTATGCCACATCAATGCAAAATTAGAATTCGACTGTACTAATGGTCATTTGCCATCTTACAGGACCGACTGATTCATTTATTAAAGGAGAACTTCCGACAAAAAAAGGCATCAATTAAAGTTGCCATGATTTTTATAACCACACAAAAATGAAAAAATGAAATGTAACCAGACGGCTATAGGAGATCTAGGGTCATTAGTGAGGATTTTGTGGATCTGGATGTTTACAATGGGTGAATACGTCTATACCATTGCAAACGATTTTTAACTATGTCGACAACATTCTCAAACTAATGACTCTTGGAATACTGATGGCATGAACAGTTACAATGACTAATAACCCAAGAACAATATTTAAGTACATGTTGCTTTTTGCATCAATTTTTTCAAGTGTTTCAATGCAAACTACCACCCAAACAGAAACATGTCAAATGCGCTGCGAAACCTAAATTCGACTGCTACAATGCTGGCTTTTGCTTATTCCATGTCATTGACTGTCAGTTGCATCAACGTAGGGTGGTGAAGATTATCTGACTGGGATCCTAGAAATTCTACGGATTAATAGCTCGAGAATAGTGTTTAAAAATCGTTCGCAGCAGCGCAGATGTACCCACCCCACAATGACGTCTAGGAATTTTTCACTCATCGTTCCCCACACACCTCCCGTAGTCTCTTTATTGAATTTTGTTTCATGACCTTTACGTGCTTTTATGAATTGTGGCAATTCTTGGTGAGACTTTCTGGGTTGACAAATCAGTCAGTCGTTACACCGAGCTAACTTATGCAAGCTGCCACCCCAAAGGAAAACCTTCGATACGTTACGTAATACACTTGCCACCTTTGATTTAATCAAGTTCCCAAACGGGAACTTTTGGTGGTTTAGCCAATGACCTAGTGGATTGGTGCCGCCCATACAGCACAGTTGTTAGTAATTAACACAGTGACACCTACGGACACATTATTAAGAATAAAGATACACGACTTATGCAGTGCTTGAAATAAAGCTGAATGCATTAATTTGTGGCATTAATAAACGAGAACGTGGCTTTTTGGCTTAAGCACTTCGAACACAACCTCGTTTTAATGTGGGCAACTGGGAAATGCCATCGAACATTATATTAGAGTGGCTTAAGCATGGTCGTTGAAAAACCTGTAAGAGTTCTAATAAGCTGAGATTAATAATAGTAGTAAGGTGATCATTACAAACAAAGTCATAAAACTGGATTATTTCATAAGAAAATGATAGATCGTATAAATCCCAACACTAACTACCTTAATACTCAGTCACTACTGTCTCACTAAAAAACCACAGTAACTCAAGACTACCTCATCTATGCGAAATGGAATAAAACTCAGTAGTGTCACAAACTTTAAAAAAGCACATCACAGTGGGTCTGTTAAGTCAGAAACAAAACAAATAATGACCCCGAATTCGTTACAGGAAGTACAGCAGTTACATTCGATTGGTAACACCACCTTTCTATCGGTAAAATCCTGGTTGAAAAAACAGTAGAAAACTAGTAATAATTGTACACTACGAAGTCTATGACTTTAGGCAACAAGATTGGGCCACTTCCTATCACCTTTAACTTCTAGATGATCTATATTCATGCCACGTACCTGTCAATCACAAGAAAATGTCACCAACTTATTGAGATTGAAAGTTATGAAATAACAAGAGGTGGAAGATATATGCACTTACCTCCAAGAATTGCAACTTGTGATTCACAAGACAGGCAAGGCCACCAATAGGTATGATAAAATACGGTAGACGAAAAAGATGGTCATTTGTGTCTAATGTTGCCTTGAACTTCACGTACATACAATAGACGGTTAAATATGACAGCACAATGAAAGTAATCTTCATGATGGTATTATAAGCAGATACGTAATATATGAATAAGTCAACATATCGGGTAGTAAACACCAATGCAAACATAATTTGAGTTTTCCCTGACAAACCTATTAAAGTAACGATTTTCATATTACGGAAATCCTACCTTTGCATGATCGCGTTGAGTAAATTTTAAGAAGCAATATTACAAGAGCCGCCAGATGGGAAAGGTCCCCTAACAGTCTAAAGATATTCATTTTCCCGAAATGATAGAAGTAAAGCCGCCAACAAGGCTACTTTTGAATACGCGCGTTGATTGCGAATTACACGGTCAAATGTTCGAAAAGCAATATATTGATGACGTATCTGTATACGTGTGCTGATATATTAGCTCTCGCCCTTCATGTTAAATCAGATCCCACCTTTCATCTGGATTTCTGCATAGTGAAATTAACGTCTCACTTCTTAAAACATTAGATGCTGGCTATCACCTTTTAAGTCGACTTGTTAAGCTGAAGGTTTGCGGCCAAGCGCCGATGTCATTCAGCATGCTGTCGTGTTACTTACGATCTCCAGCAGTAATCGTTAAGCTACAACTCTGATCCAGAAACATATCTCGTACTTTGAATGATCGATTTTGTGTTTTGATTTGTCTCTGGTCTAAGCGAAGTAAATGCTACAGGAGCCGGAGGATGAGAGCTTGCGTTTGTGAACATCGTTCTTCACTTTATTGTCAACATCTCATCCTAAAACAACGAAGTGAAGTGCACTGATTATAGCAGCTTATTTATTTGGTGAATTCATGATGCAATTAGCCTTTTCTTGTTTGGGTTTCCTTAACTTACCACAACTCCAGTCCATTGTATAGAGAACCACAGTCCCGGAGTTGATCAGCAAACCATTTATGGAAACCAGGAAACGTCAGGATCCTAAGCCAGACATATACATTAACGAATGACATTCTCCACATGCAAAATATCCATTTACCTATGCGCCACAAGTCACTTCCTACCAGGAATTTAGCAGTGTAACCTTTCCCTATCCTACAATTTCTCACGAAAAGGTTCGTGAGACAATGTGAACGCGTTGAAAAAAATGATGACCTGTGTTTTGAGAATTATGGACAGTTCCTGGCACAAAATGCTGCATAGTAACTCCAGACTTTTAGAAACTTGAGAAAGCGTTAATGTCTCACTTTACTCAACAGTTCCTAGTCTTCCAATATCATCTCGATTCGGCACGGGATACAGGAGAGCTTTGGTGCCAATCATTTGACGATTCAGTTGTTGTGGCTTGACTGTGTTCAGCAAGCGAGTAAGTGGGAATTTTTCCAGTCTTATAACTTTGGTTTGTTGCATCTTTGTTGTCCCCCGGATGCCGAAGTTATTTTAATGAGTGTGTATCCAGGAAGGCTCAAATGACACTTTACTGTATTGATGAGTTACTTGACGCACTACTTCAAAGGTTTAGATCAGCTACTCCCAACCAGGCAGTTTACCAACCCATCTCTTAAATAACCTCAGGTATTCTGCTTTCTGGGTGAATGTTAAATGAATGCGATCTTTTGACCTGCATCTGCTAACACTGAATATGGTTAGGTAAGGCTGCACAACCATTTTGGTGTAATCTGTCAGGTGTTGGAAAATTTTCCCGGGGAAATTTGTATCATAAGGTTTCAAATTTGCATATCCTTCCCTTTCTCCTGTTAAGCGGTGAAAGGGTAATCACAGTATCAGAAAAAGCATCCCATAAAAACACTTGATTAGGGTAAAGGTCGCCGAACATATTCTGGTTTCTTACTGTTCCAATATCCAATATCGTTTTTACGAGCTAGTATAAACCAATTTGATTTCTTTGTGCTCGCCTCTTGATTGTGAGGTAGAGGTTCCTGATCTTCGGTAAACGTCTGTGTAGCTCGTCCCGCCACTCGACTGTCGTAGCTTTGGTTGACTCCAAAAGGACTAGTGCAGGGATTCATTATATGTTGTTTGTAGAATGAGGTGTGTTAAGACTGTTACTACTGTGAATGGAGTTGATCCCTTCACCAGTTGGTCCTTCGGTATCGTTGTCAATAGAAAAGAGATAATAATAATAGTGAAGGTATTCAGACTAACAGACAGAAAAAGAATAAGAAAACGTAACAACAGTCAGTCAACCGGTTAATATATATACTGGTAATAGTGATAATGATAATAGGTGTAGTTAAAGTTGTCAGGAGAGTAAGACGGAAGAGAATGTAAAGAAGTAAAACGTCCAATTTAATTGTCTACCTTTGAATGGTGTATGCGATTTTAAGGGGATAGGCCATTTGGATGCAGTCGCTGCATGTTTGTCCAGGCTTCGCTTTAAGGCGTCCACAGATGGTGCCATAGCTACATCTGCCGGTAAGGAATTCCAGGGACGGCAAACCAGCACGGAAAAGAAGTGGGAGCTCACCCGGGTCCTTGCCCTCTGATGAGCTATCCTTCTAGGATTTCCACGAGGGAGCCTATACCTACTCAATGGCAGAACATCTTTGTTTGGGTGATTCTGATCATTTGTTATTTTGTAGGCAGTAATTAAATCCACCTTAAGACGACGGTGGCTAAGTGTGAATAGGCCTAATTTCTTCAGCCTTTCATCATATGGTTTATTTCGGAGACCAACCACTCCTTTTGTTGCCCGTCGTTGGACTCTTTCCAATAGGTTGGCGTCTCTTCTAAGCAGTGGGGGTGTTGATGGTTGACCCACTCTGGTTTCCTACGAGAACTACCGTGGCCAGCATTCAACACCGAGTACACATCTTCCCTTGTGTGTGTGTTTAATGACTGGTCCATCTTTTGCCGTTGGGGATATAAAATAATTCCTGACAACCAGCAGATTCCTGTTTGGCCAGTACATTAACTCTGTCTTCATAACTTTTGTAAGCCTCTAGCTCAGTGGAAGGTTTTAAAGGTTTAATGGAGAATTTTGTTAGTAGTGGATGCATATTGGTGACGTGCCTGTGAGTCGTCAATCTTAGATTCAAGAAGTAAATTAGTCACAAAAATTAACATAACACGAACTGAATATTTTACGGGTATCGCTAATAAAAACAACAAAACAATAAAATAAGGTTACAATAATTACGCATTCCAGTTAGGGGACACGACTATTGGAGATACAGTAGATACATGCTTAAAGGCAGCCACAGACCCTTAGAGTACAAAGGAGGAAGCATACATGGGTCACGATCGGTTGTTGCTCATTTCTCTCAAGTTGTTTAAAGGACACCAGCATGGCTCAATAGCACAGTCGCCTCGCTTAAGCAATGCGGATTTCAAATGATCTTGCAGACAGGTGTCACTTTCAAGCAGTCAGTCGCCAAGCATTCCAGTTTCTAGCGTCGTAGCGAACAAGAATATAGTTGCTCGCTATTCCGTCAGAAGTATGACATAACCTCTAGGACAAAACCCAATGAAAATACTATTGGCATGAAGATGGGGTTCGAACTTGAAGTATAAGAACATTCGCGTGAGTAAATGGTCTTGTGTTTTGCGACTCTGCTTACATCCATAGCTTTACTTTCGGCCCACTGCCCAAATGTATCTTAGCCTGCCGATACCCCACATCAACTAATCTACCCTTCACAGACTTTCGAACCTTTCATGACAGCAACGAATCATAGAACCTTGTGATGCCCATAACTTATTTAACTGCCTAATGTTTGGAAACATTCTGTGTCATTACATGGGTTTGATTATATGCACTGCTGCAATGTGGTTTGATTCCTGGCGGGCTTGTGTCATATATCATGTCGAAGTTAGTTTTGTGTTACTCTTTGAAGACGCAGAGTGGCTAGTAGCTGAGCTCTGAGTGTTGTCACTTGTGCCATTTCGCGTGATGGTGTTGCTACGCCAGCTATTAGTGTGGACTCCAGTGTGAGTTTGAATATTATGAGAGTATCTTTTGACGTTGCTGTTCGTGGAGAGTATGGCCTTATTTCTGCTTTTAGTGTGGTCGTTAGTATTACTTTATATCTCATTTCCCTTAGAGGATGGATTCTTCTTAGGTGTCTGAAAGTGTAGAGGATTTTTTGTTACGGGCAGTGTATTTCGGCATATTTTCTTACCGAATTCCGTTTTAGCTCTCACGTTACAGCAAAGGGAGGATGTTATCGACTTACAAGAGGCATTGATTTCTGTCTTAGGGCTATCCAGAGACATATCAGGATCCATGGTAGAGGGTGGGAGGCTAATTATGGTAAAGGATTATAGTTCACTAGCCTTTCGGATGGTGTCGTGTTCTGTGGAGCTAGGTTTGCGAAATTTGACAGGAGAGAGACTATGGGTTCTACCATGTTGGCCGTGGGTTTATCTATTTCGATGACTTGAAGTGTCTTGCCTGTCTTACCATTAGCTTTAGTTTGGTGATTGTAACCACGCCTTTCAGTCACTGTTATATTTACTACAACACTTATTCGTTTGTAGCTCGCATCCCGTAACAAGATACTTTGTGAATTGATGAATTCCTTAGCCTCCGTTTGTGTTTCGAACTAAAGGCGTATAGGGCAGCAGTGGTCGTGCTGACTCTTTTTCAGTCTGTGGCACTTTGTGTGAGAGTTAGGCAATTTCGCCGCCCTAAGTAAGATGTATTAAACCTTTTTTAACACCTCATTATCCTGTATATTGTAGGCTATCACGCTTAGTTTTGTATGTAACCTTGCGAATGCCTCTGTTGTGATGAAGTTTATCGGGATGTCAACCTTGGTTACCGATTCCATGTCAAGCTCGCCAGGGTTTATGGTTATAGTCACGATGCTCAGAGGTGTGGGTTCACAGACCTGCTATCTTATGTAATCAATCTGTGTTGACAGCTCAGATATCCTGGCCAAATCTCCTGAGAATCCTGCATTCATAGCCTTACTACACCTTATATTCAGCATCTCAGTCTTCAGCTCTGCCACAGACAGCTGAAGTCGTTCTATTTCTGAAGTAAATGTTGAAGCAGGACTTGGTATCTGAAGTTTGGTGACAAGTACACAAGGTGTAGTGAAGAGGCCTATGTTAGGACCAGGCGCTGAGTTTGTAGAGTTTGTAGGTGTCAACATATTCTCGCTGTCAGTTCCAGCACCAGCCACAGGAGATGATAGTGACACGGCGGCTCTACGCTTGTGGCATATCGGTGCACTGTATGACTCAATGCTATATTTTGTGGGTGGTGATGCTTGTTGTAGCAAGAGGATATGGGTTATCAGTCATAAGATTAACAGGCGACTGAGTTCGTGGCTTTTTTATATAATTAACCATAACTAATTAGGGAAGGAGATATTGGTAACAACTATGGAACTGGGG